TTCTCCACTATCAACAGAACTTTTGGGTGGTGACAAGGAAGCTGGGGGGTCACATGCTCACCTGTATAAATTTGTCCATGTCTATATCAGTAAATATCAGGAAAATTACTGACATCAAATGAAATTCAAGTCAAAGTTGAATCTACTTCCAGAGTAATCCTGGGGCATGGAAAGGAGATTGGCATACCTCCTTGTAACCCAACCCATGACAAAATGAAAAACAAAACTTGTAGTCATTCTTTTGGGGTCTAAGCTGTTCCACTTGTAAGGCGGAGGTGATTATACCCTGTCCTTCTAACAGAAATGCCATAGAAATGACTTTTAATCATAGAGCTGGAATGGTCCTCTCAAAGATCATGTAGTCTATTTTAGGTTATATAACAAGAGGAAACTGAGACTCATACTGATGAAATGACTTATCAAGTTCAGAATTAGGATTTAAATCACATTTAAAAAGTCTTAATCCAAGGTTCTATATTGCATGGCCTCTCTATGTATGGATTCATAAAAATATACAGCGGAAGAAGACTTAAGAAAGTTCATCCTTAGGTGCTTTCATTCATACTGTTTGCTAGTAAAAGTTGCTGCTGGTCTCTGGAGCTGAGTATGGTGACTGGCATAAAACAGGAGCACAATAAGTGCTAAGAAAAATGAGTAAAATTGTTATGTGAGACTATAACATAATAGAAAGAGCTATGGCTTTCGAGGCAAGAGGCCTGAATTTATTTCCTATGAAAATCTATGTGATTCTAAAAGTTCAGAAACAACCTAAGTGTCCACCAATAAGGGACTATTTAAATAAACTATGGAACATCCACATATAGACTACTCTGTTAGTTTTCTATTGCTATAACAGCAAAGTACCACAAATTTAGTGGTTTAAAACAGCACATTTATTATCTTACAGTTCTGGATGTCAGAAGTCTGACATGGTTATCATTGGGCTAAAACCAATGTGTCAGCAAGACTGTTCTTTTTTCGAGGCTCTGGGGGAAAATAAATTTTCCTAATTTTCTAACTTCTAGAGGCTGCCCACATTTCTTGGCTGTGGCCCCTTCTTTCACCTTCAAAGCCAGCAATGGCCAGTAAAGTTGATCTCACATCACATCATTCTAACTTTCTCTTTTGTCTCCCACTTCTACTTTATAAGGATCGTTGGGCCATAAAATCACCCAGAATAATCTATTTTAAGGTCAGCTGATTAGCACCCTTAATTCCATTTACTACCTTAATTCCCCTTTGCTGAATAAGGTAACATAGTAAAAGGTTCCAGAGATTAGGATATGGACAACTTTGCCTACCACGTCTGTAAAAAAACAGTGAGGGAACCTCTTCATGTTCTGATAGGGACAATACTCTAGGATATATTGTTATGTATAAAATTCAAGGCAAAGAAAAGTGTGAATAGTACACTTTCATGCAGAGAGAAAATAAGAATATTTATACCTGGTTATATTTGTATAAACAAACTCAGGAAAGATAATGCAAGAAATATCAGAGTGGTTACAGATATACAGGGAATGGCCTCCAGGGTGGGAAGATGGGGAATGGGATGGAATGGGATTTTTCAATGCATGTTTTAAAATTAATTTGGTTTTTGAACCATGTAAATATGTTATTTTTTTTATTCAAGGGATTCATAATTGCCCCCAAATCCTATTTTCACTTGATAGTCAAAACCTTTTTTTTTTTTGGAAGAGCCTATCTATCATTAACCTTGTTATTTTTTTCTTCTTAAGTTAACTCTTCTAACAGGCAGATCATCTATTGTCAGTGGCTTTGCATCAAACAATTCTCTAACATGACATGTTCTTAGATTTCATGAAAGTCTATTTTTGTTACAAAATTTATGCAATTTCACCTTGCAATCTGTTTGTATTATGAGATGTTTTTGACATCCAGCCTTGCTGCAGTGGGAATACTAGACATAAGAATGGATCATGTCTTCAGGTGGACATATCATTTTGTAAGCAGTCAGTTAAGTAGTGAACGCTCCCATTTTAAATGTCTATTTATTATTTTTGAGAGAGAGAGAGAGAGAGCAAGTGGAAGAGGGGAAGAGGGGGAGAGAGAGAGAATCCCACAACCATGAGATCATGACCTGAGCCAAAATCAAGAGTTAGACACCCAACCAACTGAGTCACCCAGGCACCCCAACACTTTCATTTTATATTCATAAAGTTACAGAGACTATAATTTCCCTATGTGACTATAGAAATTTTGGTGATAACTATGCAAAACTGTTGTATATACTTGGATCTATTTTAGCATTTATTGTTCTGTCTTTTCTTGTGAATTTCCTTTAATTAATATACTTTAAATCTAGTAATACTGTTGTTGTTCCATATATTTTGTAGTTATGTCTCTATCATTAATTAGTCTTCTACTTACAAAATATTTCATGGCTCCTATCACATTGATTTTTTTTCTAGCCAGGTTTACTAAGGTATATTTTTTATGCAATAAAATTCCTTTTTAGGTATTTAGTTTTATAAGTTAAAAAAAATCAGTTGTGTAACCACCACAAAAATGAAGATATAGAATGTTTTCACACTTGAAAAAGCTCCCTCATATTTCTGGTACACTCTGTAGTCAATTCCCTAACCTCACCCTTAGTCCCTGTTGACTACTGATCTGATTTCTGTCCCCACAGTTTTGTCTTTGGCAGAAAGTGATATAAGTGCAATCCTATAGTATATAGTCTTTGAGCCCAATTTCTTTCATTAGCATACCTTTGAGATTCTCGCATGCTGTAGGAAGTTATCAGTACATCATTCCTTTTATCACTAAGCAGTATTTCATTGTATGGCTATCCTTTTGTTTTTTTACCCAGTCATCATTGATAGATATTTGGGTCAATTCCAATTTTGGGCAATTATGCATAAAGCTACTATAGGTAACACCTATGTATGAACATAAGTTCCCCTTTCTCTTGGATCTAAAAGAGATCTAAAAGTCAGATTGCTGGGTTGAATGGAAAATGTATCTATAACGTCATAAAAATTTCTTATAAATAACTATTAAACTATTTTCCAAAGTCCTTGCTCCATTTTGTATTTCTATCAACAATGAATGAGAGTTCCAGTTGCTCCTTATCCTTGCCACTTGGTATTATCAATTTGTTTAATTTCATTATTTTAATAGGTGTGGTGGTATCTGATTGTGGTTTGTACTTCCTTAATGGCCAATGATGCTGAGCACTGTTTTGCATACTCATTTGTCATTCCTTTTTCTTCTTTGGTCAAGTGCTTGCTCAAATATTTTGTCTATTTATTATTAATTATGAAGTTATAAGTTATTTAAATATTTTGAATACAAGACATGTTTTACATTATTGTCTTCCAGTCTGTAGCTCTTTCCATTTTCTTAACAGTAAAAGAGTGTCATTGAAGAGTAGAAGTTTTTAATTTTCATGATGCCTAACATATCAATATTTTTATAGCTCATGCTTTTTGTTTCCTAAGAAATCTTTGCCTAATTCAAGGTCACATAGATTTTCTCCTGTGTTTTCTTCTAGAAGTTTTATACATTTAAGTTTATACTTATAATCCATTTGAGTTAATTTTTGAATTTTGTGTGAGACAGCCATCAAGGTTCTTTTTTTCAATTTACATGTGGATATCCAACTGCACTATCTATTGCAAGGATTAGACTTTCTCCATTGAATTGTCACTGCAACTTTGTTGAAGATCAACTGACCACATAGCCATGGTCTATTTCTGGACTCTGTTTTGTTCCATTGATCAATGTGTCTACTATTCTTTCACCAATATTACAGTCTTGATTACTGTAGGTTTTAAGGTAATTATTGAAATCAAGATGTGGAAGTCTTCAAAATTTCTTTTTTTTTTTTTTTTTTTAAGTTTTGGCTTTTATAGGGTTTTCCTTTCTATGTAATTTAAAAAATAGCTTGGCTTTTTCTACAAAAATGCTTTCTGGAATTTTGATTAGGATTGTTCAGGGTCTATAGATGAATCTGGGGACAGCTGATAATATTGAGACTTCAAATGAATTGATACCATATATTTCTCAATTTTGGGGGAACACTTTAATGCTTGAATAGGGAGTTGAAGAAGATTTTATCAAGTGCCAAAAAAATTTATTTGACCTTTAAAGGAAGTTGCATTAAATATGCTTCTACAAATCATGTTAAGCATGACAAAAGTACGAAAAAAGTCTTTTCCAACGACTGTAAGTTTTATTATATTTCCTATACAGAATTATCAAAACATCATTTAATGGTATATTTAAATAAGAGTATTTATTATTTTCAAAAAACATGAATCCTGTAACATGTTCTTTGAAAAATGGCTTCTGGGATAGAGTAACTCAGGAAATGATACATATAATATCCAGCTCCAGGTTCAGATTTGTCTTGGTCATTGGCTTTATTTGGTAATTGGGTATTATAGACATTCAAATATTATTTATTTTCATGTTTCTTATTTCTACATTTTAAAATCTACTTTAATAAATGATCTGTATCCTTTTCCTTTATCTTTTTTTTTTAGCAGGATGGTTATGCTGGCCAGATAAAATAATTTACAAGGATTTCCCTACATTTCCATGTTGTGGGAAAGTATAAATTGTATAATAAATTATTCCCTCAAGTATTTAATATGATTTGGCATACACACATAAAATGTGACACTGATTATAAAGAGAAATAACAATGGTTTTCCTCAGCATTCATTGCATTTTAGACTTTAAAAAATATATTTAAGTATTTTTATAAAGTAAACATAGTTGGTGAGATTAAGCATAAGATGATACAGGTAAAACAGATTAGAGAAATTCTTGATTTTTGGTATTAACCACTCTGTTGCTCAAGTTGCTCAAGTTTCTATGTTGAATCCAAATCCGGCACACCAAAGAAAATGGGCCACCAATGGCTGCTCAAGGGCATGTAAATATGCAGAACATATCCAGATGTACATATCCAGAACAATCAGACTTTCAGCTTGACAGACGATAGAGAGCAATGAAAAGGTAATACTCACATCCGAGTTAAAGCGAAGCTGACAGACATTACAAGAAATAACTTGTTTCTTCTTTGGGGGAATGGACACTCCAAAAGTGTGGTTAATCACTGCTTTTTGCACAGGATCCATCTGAAGAGCAAATGATAAAATAAAATAGTCAATTTATAACTTCAAAGGATAGACATTAGTGTGAACAAGTAGAAGTATCTATATTTAACTTTTAGCTCCTAAACAGGGATGAGAAAGAATCTCATTCAACAGTAATGCACTTGTTTCCAGTAATTAAAGACAAGAACAAAAAACTAGATTGAAATAATAACACCGCCCCTCCAAAAACAGGAAAATCACAACATCTCAAGAAATCTTATACCTATATAAGGAACCCTGAAAAACCTTAAAAGAACCATAAAGCAAGAAAATTTAAGATCAAAAGGTCAGGGTCCAAATTCACTTGTTAATGTTTTCCCTACATGAGGTGATGATACATAAGATGGTCTGAAATGACTTCAATGATGATTACTACACATATATTTAAGTTTCTAAGTTATTGATTTATGGCAAAATTATAAATGACAGGCTGATACTACAACATAGAAAATGCTGATCTTTATGTTAAAATAATGTTTCATGTGCTATAGATTGACATCATCCTACTTGAAATGCTTGTCACAATTGTACACTCAAACACCCAAAGCAGATTGTTTAACATGCAACCTTTTTTCAATACTGATCAAGTAGTTTTGACTTAAAACCTGTGACTTCCCTTCCTTTGGTTTGCATGTTCCATAAATATTCAGAGAAATTAATGGTGATGAAAGTACTCAACCATAGATAAAGTATGGCATAAAGCCATGAAAATACTGGGAAAAGGTAAGAACACTATCTGCAGAGCCTATAAAAAGAGAGACAGAGTGGTGATTCTCTTGTGTACTCCAGATAATCTCCAGCATTAACATCAGACAACTGGCAGTAAAAAAAACAATGCAGACGATGAACAAAGCATTACTTATAAACAGATGTAACACGAATAAGGACAGATCCACTGACACCATCAGGTAGGAAATCTCCTGAGGTTTGAGTTTAGGATTGGATTAGTTGATGATATTTGGTAGAGAGGAGAAATGAATACCAATCCTTATGAGGAATATAAATCAACAAAGTACAAAATTAGCAATTAGAAGAACTTAAGTACATTAGAAAAGAGGGTGGATTACAGAATTATTGAATAGTAAAGTAGCCTAATTTTTTTTTTTTTTTTTTTTGCTAAGAGTTTAAGAGGAATGACAGGAGGATGTATTCCCACTATACAGAACAAAATTTCAAAGCGGGGAATGTTCTGGAGTGAGAGAACTATTCTATATCCTGACTGTAGTCGTGGTTACACAAATTTACAAGTGTTAAAGTTTATAGAACTACATGCACTCCCAAAAAGTCAATTTTAAGTGTGATAATTTAAAACATAAAAAAGAAAAAATTGTTAAGAGTGTAACGTTTAACTACCAATTGTAAAATATCATTACTGGAAAATCTGGAGATTTCTTTTGTTAAAGGTCATAATTGATGTATGACGTGTACTTAATGAGAATTAAAAAGCCTTCCACAGGTAAAGAAAATATCAAAAGTTCAGAAAATAAAACTGTAGTTCTTTTTTTTTTAGGTTACTCACAAATGTATACACTTAAGTCTCATTCATCCGCTTATAAAACATGAAACTATGCTTTCTTTTTTTTTTAAATAAATGTTTATTCATTTTTGAGAAAGAAAAAGAACATGAGTCAGGGAGGGGCAGAGAGAGAAAGGGGTAGAGAATCCAAAGCGGGCTCTGCGCTGACAGTATAAAGCCCAGCATGGGGCTCAAACTCATGAACCATGAGATCATCACCTGATTTGATGCTCAACCAATTGAGCCACCCACACGCCCTGAAACTGTGCTTTCTGATTGTTACTAGAGATAGCAAATCAGTTTGAACAGGCTTAAAAGTAAAATAGCCTAGTTATAATGACAGGATGAAAAAAATTAAATTGCTTTGCAAAGTTTATAAGGGCAATTTATTGATATTTTCTGTTCTTAGGGTCTAAAAAACACTTCCTGGTTCGGTGTGAACTACATGGGATAAAACTGTGTGAATTTTCCCTAAACACCAGTTTTCTGCATGCTGCTTTCATTAGTTTTGCCACATTCATATCAAACTAAAATTGACTTTTTGACAACATAGCAATAATACTCATGAAATCATAGGTTTAATGTATTCTTTCCTACATTAAAAAAAATGAAAACTGACATTAAAAATTAAAACTTTCATTATTAAAATAAATGTATATACTCTTGTGGCTCCCATACCACCATATAGAAACTCAGACGAAAGACACATCTAAAATAATCTAGCCCCAAGGTTTTAGGAAACCAAGATGTCTGCTGATAGCTCCAACATGACCCTTGAATATAAACATTAGTCTTAAATTTTTGAAATTGTTAGCTACCAATATAATTTTTCAAATAGCTTCTAATACAACTTTATGCTTCTTAAATCTCACGTCTGCATCACATCAGCCTGAAAATATCCCCTGGTGTTCCTGAGACTGGGCACAATTTATCCTAAAAGGTGAATTGTGGATGAGCACTCCAGATACAAAGGCAGGCAGGTTCCCAAGCCATCTGCTCTCTGAAGAAAAACTATGGAGATTCCTTCAAGAAAACCTTACCAGAAATGACTTCTCTACTTTATACACATAATCCCACTCATCTTCATAAAATCAACACAGCCCTTTTATCCCATTACTTGCCACCCATCATTAACTCCTGCTGCCTTTTATCCTTTGCACAACTTACCAGTAATCATGTAAAAATTTCATCCCTTATGTTTCTCACTTGGAACAGATTTTCTCTATTTTCCATTTGATTCTCTATATTTTTTTACAGAGATTTTGGGAAAAGATTCACTCCCCCCTGCCCCTTCCTCCCTCTCTCTGGCCCCTTCCCACCCCATCTAAATCTCTTTTGTCTTCCTGTGCTGTTTATCACAGAATTCGATGTCTCTTTTTTTTTTTTAATTTTTATTTATTATGAGAGAGAGTGTATGAGCAGGGAAGGGGAAGACAGAGAGGGAGAGAGAATCCCAAGCAGGTCCCATGAGCCAGATGCAGGGCTCAATCTCACAAGCTGTGAGATCATGACCTGCGGAGAAATCAAGTGTTGGTTGCTTAAGGGACTGAGCCATCCAGACAGCCCTCTATATTTCTGATTCAAATGTCATTTTGGGGAACATGACTCAGTGGAAAGAAAACTTTAAATTGTTTAAAAATGATTGTTCCACTTGCTGACTCAGCTGATACCTTGAAACAGATACTATCTAGCTGATATTTTGAGTATCTGCCACCAGACACAGTAGCTACAAGTACCTGAGTCATTTCCATGGGATCCAGACATGGAATAATAGAGAGAAGGTTTTCCAATCTTTCTCTCTTCATTCTTAAATGTATTAAGTGATAAAATCCTGAATTCTTTTCTTGGCATTTCTGTAACACTCTATAAGTTAGATGAAAATAATAACTATGATGTTAATTTATACTAACTTTTATTTTTTATAATTTTTTCCTCCACGAATGCATGTTAGCTCTCTGTAATTATAATGAGATATGTATAACTAAATTAGTGGTGATTCTTTTATTCAATTTCCAGCTTTCAGGATGAATAAAACATTTAGGTTGAATAAAACATTCTCATAAATCTTGAAATGTGATATATGCAAGTGGCCAATTTAGTGTGGCCAAAAGTATATATATGTATCATAATGATCTCTTATGTAGAATACTCGGGAAAATTATTGGAGTTATTACAATTAAATGACAGTAAGAGTTTTCTTTTAAAGGATCAATTTGTTTTCTCTTTAAAAAAATTTTTTTTTAATGTTTATTTAGTTGTGAGAGAGAGAGACACCGCATGTGAGCAGGGAAGGGTCAGAGAGAAAGGGAGACAGAATCCCAAGCAGGCTCCAGGCTCCAGGCTCTGAGCTGTCAGCACAGAACCCACGAACCCTCGAACCCACAAACTGTGAGATCATGACCTGAGTTGAAGTTGGCCACTTAACAGACTGAGCCACCCAGGTGCCCCATCAATTGGCTTTCTCATAGACATTTGATTATTCAAAATAAACAAGTGTTTTCAAACATCTCTATTAAAATGCTTATATCACCTTAAAATGAACAAATGCTTTGTTAAATATTCATATTAAGTTACCTCATGTTCATTCACATTACATAAGAAAGCTGTATATGGATTGAGAAAATTGTGATTCATTGGTAAATAACGCTGAAGGTTTTTTTTTTTTTAATGGGAAAAAAAACCCAGAGAGCTCTAGCTACCGATATTCCTTACCTGGCAGAATTTATTGGTCCCAAATAAGCCTCTTCTTTTCTAAAAAAGTAAAAATTAGAAGTAGTCATCTGGAATTTTGAGGCTAGCAAGCACATTTACATGAAATTAAAAAAAAATCATTTTCTTTGTTCATCTCGGATTAAAAAACCTGAAATGCTTACTAACTAAAAAGCAGCAAGAGTTAACACTTGCCACTTTTCCTAATAAAAATCATGTAGAAACGAAAAGCAAAACCTATTAGTGCAATTAACTGGTAGGTAATAAAAATGAAAGATGGGGTTGTGGCTATTACCAGGAATTGAGGAGATAATTGGAGGCTATGTATGGACAAATTAACTATTATATTATAGTACTTATAAATGAATTAATGAAGCTGGCCTTATCACACCATCTATTATATTTTCAGTATCAGAATAAGAGCAAACAGGTATCTTTGATGTATTTACCAGGATTATGGAACCACAAATCTCTGTGAATTTTTAAAAAGTATTATTTTCATTGAGCATAGCACAAAGTAATATACACTTTCGCAGTGTAGGCTATCACATAAAAATATGCAGCTGCAAATAAAACTTAGCTGCAGGGAAAAAGAAACACTGCAGCACATCTCTAATGGTGGGAGGAGGGCTATGGGTGGAGAGAGACCTGAATGGAGGGGCTACATCGCATCAAATGGCTTCATCCTTGATGATATTTAAAGCCTAGGTAATTTTGCTAGGGGGAACTTTAGGCAAAGACCAGAGAAATACAAACGTCCCTACTATCTCAATAATTTTCAAAGGCCTGAAATATGATCTATATTCTTGAAAGAGTCTAAAATGATTGCACTAGCCCTCAAGTGGGTCTGGGTATTGGAGTAAACTGAGCACCACCCAATTAAAAAGCAAAAAAGACCGCTCAAGAATTGTACAAGGTGTTCTTCAATGTGCTTCAGTGGCCAGGTATCTGTACTATTTTTAAAGATGGAGAAATTTCATACGAAACTTAGCCATCTATTTTAACCAGTGTTCCGAAAGGCATCTGGTAAGTGCTTATTATACAACAGAATAGGTAATACTAGCTTTTCTATTAAACAGAAGTAGAGACTGAGTTTTTTACTGTTAACATGTATTTATTTTATTTATTTATTTTAAAGGTTTTATTTTTTTTTTTAAGCAATCTCCACATGCAACTACCCAACGTGGGGCTTGACCTCATGACCTTGAGATTGCGTCAGATGCTCCAGTGACTGAGTCAGCCAGGCCTCCTGGACTTTTACAATAAAAACATCAGTCATCCAGGGATGCCTGGGTGGCTCAGTCAAGTGACTGACTCTTAGTTTTGGCTCAGGTCATGATCTCATGGCTTGTGAGTCTGAGCCCGGCATTGGGCTCTACACTGACAATGTAGAGCCTGCCTGGGATTCTGTCTCCCTCTCTCTCTGCCCCTCCCCTGATTGTCCTTTATCTGTCTCTCAAAAGAAATAAAAGTAAACTTAGAAAATAAATGAAAATAAAAACCAGTCATCCAAGAAAATTTCTGCAGGCCTAATATGTCAGATATTGTTTCAGACTAGGTAGGGCAGGATAGGTCCAACATAAGATATTTATAATTGTAAAGTTAAAAAATGAAAACAACAACAACAACAACAGTATAAACTGGGACTGAAAAAAGAAGTGATTTTAAAGCTCTGTCTTCCTTGCCCCATCCCTACTTTGGATTTCTTTTCTCCATTTTCTGATTTTCTCGCATTTTAAGCATTCAAGATCCTCCCTTTAACAGTGATGTCAATGTGTTAACCTCCCAGGGGTATTTGCCTTTCAATTCCTTTTTTTAGCTGTGGAATAACAACAATAAACACCATAATAAGAGCAGCTTAGCTTTATAGAGCTCTAACCGTATGCCAGGAATTACCCTGAGGGATTATTTTGTACAGTCTCCACCATCGCACAAGGCAGATATGATTATTACTCTCCTTTACAAATGAGGAATTTGAGGCTTTGAGAGATTTAATACCTTGTCACCCTGAGTCCAAAGGTCTGAAGCCAGGATCCAAACTCAGGCAGGAGACTCTCCCACGCTGTTGCCTGCTAACAGAACATGGAGCAGGGATGACATGCTTTGCGGGTGGTGCTGGTGATGGGTGTGAGATTTGAAGAAAGGGTGAGTGTTTCTAGCGCTTCTGCAGCCTGAAGGATGGCTGTCTACTCCAACTACACATGAAGCCTACTTGATGCTTAAGGAAGTTTCCTGCAGAGGGGAGTCTGCATTTTTCTCTTTCTGATCCATTTATGTCACTCTTAGAATAAGCCCATATCTTCTTGTGTAACTTCAGGAGAGCCATATGTAAAAATTCAGGCTGTCTTGTCCTCTTTGTAACCATTGGGCTTGCACCCAGAAAAACACTTGGAGGTGACACACAGCAGGGGAAGGTCATCATTTACGCATGCCCTCGATTCACTGCTCAGAGGACCTCAACTACTAAACCCTTGTGACTAAGGGCTTTCTGGAAGTTTGGCAAAGCATCACTTTTTTAAGTGCAATATTATCATAATAGTACAGAAAGAATGACAGTTTTTCATCCCTTCCTTTTTCAATACTGGATTTATGGAAAAGAATGTGACAATGGGGTCTTGTTAAATTGCCAAATATAATGAAGTGACACATTTAAAAGTGATAGCTACATCATTGAAGAGTAATACTTCTTGGCAGTTCTTTCAAAAAAGGTTTTGCCTTTTATATTTGACTACTCTGACCACGTGCCTTAATATTATTGTTTTGCTTTTTTCAAATCCTTGAAAACTAAAATAGAAACAAAACAGACATAACTATCACAAAGACACATATCTTCTCTCAAAGATCAAGAAATAGAAACAACTGCATGTCATCGGCAACATTAGCTCAACCACACAGCTTTGTACTGTTTTGGATTTCAAATCAGAAAGCTCAATAAAAGTAATCCACACGGAACATTACACTGGAATTGCACGCTACCCTGAGACCTGCATTTTTGCATCTGGAATGTGTGAACGCAGAGACTCACCGTACTGACACTGCTTCTCCTACTCACAGCACCCTGACAGGGGTCCACATGGATGCCACCATTATCACTGAAAGGAAGACAAATGGTGTGCCACTCTCTCCACAGACTGATGATTCAACAAGGAGCTATATGTTTGGAAAGACGCTTCCCCCACATAGCCCCAGCTTCTTGCTGAAACCACACATCAGCTCTGCCTTGCAAACCAAATCAGCTGTGTCCCCAGTACAATGGGATACCATTGCTCTACTGGAAAGTTAACCAGTCATTCAGAACTGGTATAAAGGCTAATATTTTAGGTACACAACATGTACCTAAGAAAATAATAGGCCATGTTATATCTTAGTCTTAGTCTCAATAAAGTTATTCCTACTACTACTACTACTACTACTACTACTACTACTACTTTATCGAATATTGTAGGCTGCTGAGTATTTTGAGGCTAAGAGTTTGGTTAATAATTAGCAGTACGTGACTGTGCAGGAATGAAATGGAATCCTAGGATCCCTTTCCAGAGTCTCCCTAATGGTGGTCAATATTCTCTATAGAAAATATGAGTGGAGTTGGCCCAGAGATTTGAAGCAGCCAATCAGAGTAGAGCACAGATTAGAATTTCCTCAACCCTCCCCCCCCCCTTTTTGTTTAAATGAATTTAGAAAGCTTGATATCTTTCACTGAAATTCCATATTGCCATACCATCATTGAAAAGCTCTGGGATTCATCACACAAGATTGTATATTTCACTGGCAGAAAGGATGACCGAGTAAGGAAAAATACCCTGTGATCTATTTTGAAGATCTATTTGGAAAGAAAAATTAAACTGCATTTTCCAGGAGTGCTTTGGAGAAATTCCAACATAGTTTTATTTTTGGAAGAATAAAAAGAAATGTAGAATGCTAAGAGATTTGTGTTTCTGCCTTAAAATACTGTCCCCTTTCCAGATCACTCTTATAGTAAAAGCTGTAACATTTTTAGAGGTTAAGTGTTTCATATCAACCTAGACATTCCTTGGGAATTTTTCCTCCTTTTCCAACACATCACACTTTTATAACTGCATGATTTGCAATTTGCACAAACACTATCTTTTCTTGAAAAGTCATTCATTTAACAAAGGTTTATTAGGTGGCTATCATGCACTGTTTTAGGAATTGGACATACAATGAAGAGCCAGGCTTCAAAAATACAATGTTGTAGTTGAAATGACCCATATATCTAAAGTAATAAATAAGGTATTGTCAGAGTGTTGTAAGTACCTTAAAAAAATCAGATAGGAGAATGGGGGGAAAAAACCCTACAATATTTTACCACAGATAATTCCTAAAAACATTTTAATTGTCTTGCTACAACTCTGATTGATACTTTTACATATAAATCCGTACCAAATATGTAAAAATAATGACATGCTTCCATGATTTAGGAAAGTTGATATAGAAATCAGATTCATACAGCTGGTAAACGTAAGGGGCATGTTCTTCAGCGTTCAAGGTGGTCTGTGAGATTTCTGCAGAGGATGTCCTTTAACTACCAAGTATCAAGATAACAACTGGTTGTCAGAGCCACTATGCTCATCATCATTTCCCAAGGGAAAGGGAAACTAAAGAGATCTGTGCTTTGGAAGTTCTCTACAGATGAGGGCTAAGTGCTAGATGCCTCCTACCTGGAAACTTTCCTAGTGGGTTTCTGTGCAGTGCAGTTGGCCTGGTACCTAGTGAATAGCAGAATGAGTACGTTACTTCCTGTGTTTTTAAAATAAGTGCTTATTTGGTCCACAATCTAACAGTTTTAAAACTGTTACAAGAAAATGTGTTTTGGGGAGCCTGGGTGGCTCGGTGGGTTGTGGGACTGACTCTCGATTTCTACTCAGGTCATGATCCCAGGGTCATGGAGTTGAGCCCTGAGTTGGTCTCCATGCTGCGAGTGAAGGCTGTTTAAGATTCTCTCTCCCTCTCTCTCTCTCTTCCCTTTTCCCTCTCTCTCTCCCTCTACCTCTTTCCCTCATTTGTGCACACATGCTCCTCCT